AATAGTGTAGCAGGTGCTATAGATTAGATGACAATTCTGAAATGGCTGGGGTGTAGGTAATCTTGCCAGGAGCTGGGGATGAATTGTACATTTTTGTTTCTCATTTTTCCAATCTTTGGTTCTGTTCACCACATTTCCACATTAGCTTGTGTACATTTTTAAGAAGCCCTCATGAAAATTCACCAGCATTTCAGTGTACATTTTCCCTAATATACTCATTTTTGCAAAGCAGTTTCCCCTAATATAATGGATTTTTGTGTGTTATTTTCATCAATATATGCATTTCTATGCACACATTACCCCAGTATATGCATTTTTGCACACTTCACTTGGCTGAAGAACTGCATCACAAAGAAGTGTGAATTTTGAAGGGTGGCTGTGCTTCAATTCACATGCATTATTTTTGGAAGTGATAATACCCTAACCAAATTTCTCCATTAATCTCTAAACTGGAGGAGGGTCAACTGGGATTGAATTTTAGTAGGATCAAGTCCAGGAGAGATGGTTTGATTTCTCTTCTAATGCTCCAGGGATGAAGTTCATAGGGAGCAGTACCAAAGGAAGCCTGGAAAAAGTTCCACCAGATTCCAGGACAGAGATGGGGAGCAACATTACCCCAGGGAATGTGCTGAGGACCAAATGCTGGCCATGGGCTAGGCTGAAGCTAGTGGTGACCTTCAGCCAGAACCAAGACTGGCAAACCCATCTCTCTCTCTCTCTCTCTCCCCAATCCCATTTCCACAATCTTTTCCCTCCTCCCCACTCATATGAAATTATGCTGATGGCCACAGTTTCCCAATCTAGTACAGAACCCAGCTACACCCAACTAGTGTGGAAAGTCATTTCTGCACTGGGATTTTACAAGGTTTTCCTTGCTGTGCTTCTGAATTTAACACCTGGGGCAGTGCCAGTGGCTCCTTTTACTGGATTAGGACCACGTTTATAATACCAAATAATAGATGATTGGTGATGTTAGTTCTGACAGCACCAATCGCCTGGTTTAGGAGTTGTGAGAACAGATTGGACTCTTCTTACATTTTTAAGAAAGGGAGAATCTGCAATCATCATCTATGAAGTTCTACTACATGGACTTAAAAATAAGGGTGTGCTTTTTATAGGCATCTATTTATTCAATGAGGGAAGCGGGTGGCGCTGTGGGTTAAACCACAGAGCCTGTTGTTGTTGTTGTTTAGTCGTTTAGTCGTGTCCGACTCTTCGTGACCCCATGGACCAGAGCACGCCAGGCACTTCTGTCCTCCACTGCCTCCCGCAGTTTGATCAAACTCATGCTGGTAGCTTCAAGAACACCATCCAACCATCTCATTCTCTGTCGTCCCCTTCTCCTTGTGCCCTCCATCTTTCCCAACATCAGGGTCTTTTCCAGGGAGTCTTCTCTTCTCATGAGGTGGCCAAAGTATTGGAGCCTCAGCTTCAGGATTGCTAATCAGAAGGTCAGCGGTTCGAATCCCCCGACAGGTTGAGCTCCCGTTGCTCGGTCCCTGCTCCTGCCAACCTAGGAGTTTGAAAGCACGTCAAAGTGCAAGTAGATAAATAGGTACCGCTCTGGCGGGAAGATAAATGGCATTTCCGTGCGCTGCTCTGGTTCGCCAGAAGCGGCTTAGTCATGCTGGCCACATGACCCGGAAGCTGTACACCAGCTCCCTTGGCCAATAAAGTGAGATGAGCGCCACAGCCCCAGAGTCGGTCACGACTGGACCTAATGGTCAGGGGTCCCTTTACCTTTATTTATTCAATTGCAATGATCTGAAGGCCACATAGTCCACTGTTTTAGAGCATGCACATGGTACTGGAGATAGCATTGTCAACCACATTTCCCTTTTAGCTATAGAGATTTTACCTACAGGGTCTCCTACAGCCTACAGCCCTTTCCCCAAAGAGTTAATGTGGCATTACCAAGAGCATGTAAACATTAGCTTATGAACATATAGTGCACATCTGTGTGTCACCATCATGCAGACCAAGGTGGGGAAATGGCATTTAAGTATTTCATGTGAAAGCCTGCTTCTGTCTAATAGTCAGTCAATGCAGGTTCAGAACTTCAAGCAGTTTTCAAGAGAAGGATTCATTCTACTAAGCTTTCTTTATAAGAGTTTCGCCTTGCATTCTTAGAATCATGTCATTCCAAGCCCCCTCCCCTTTCGCCTTGCATGCTATAGGTCACAGACCCCTGTCTTCTTAAGCACCAGCCCTTTAGCAACTCAGTGAGACCATTTTAACTTTTGATCCACTGTCTGGAAAGATCAGCTCCGCACAGGTGGAAGAATTTGCTTGCATGGATCAAAATTCAGACTGGAAACCACTGTAAAGGAAACATGAGAAAATGAGTTTTGTTTGTTTGTTTTTGTTTTAAAGAAAAGAATGGGAGAGAGCTAAACAAGTAGTCAGAAAAGAGAGTCAGAAAACTTGAGCTCAACACAAGTCATACACAAATGGAGGGACATTGTTTTAAAATTATGTAATGGAATCTGTAGCTGTTTAGAATAGCCTAACTGAACTGCTTATGGGATCCAAATAAGTAATTGAACATGTCACATGTCATAAGCTAACCCTTTCATTCGGGCATTATTACTATGATCACTGTAATGCCCTCATGCTTATTTTTAGCAGCAATTTTCCTCTTGAAAATATTTACCAGCACTTAAAATACCATATAGGTATATACTAAAGGGCCTGCTGTGTCGATTGGATCTTGGGACTAGGGCCGAAAAGCGCTTCTGTCAATGAGATCAAATTATAGACAGCTCCACTAATCTGCCTCTCATCAGAAATAGCCAGAGGGGGAGGGAAAAAATGCACAAATGTAAACATAAAAGGCGAAACCTCATGATTTGCATACTTGTCATGTTTCACCAGCAAACAATTCCAAGCGGTTAGAGTGGGATGGGCCAGAGTTTGGCATTGCTTCTTGGGATCCTCCCTTTTAACAAGAGGGTGGGCATCAGTGATATTAATTGATTGGTGGTTTTCACCATTCTGAGCATGATGAAAAACAACAACAACAAACCACCACTCTTTTGTATTTAGGCTTCCGTTTATCAAACAAGTGTGCCAAGCCACCAGACTAAATGAAAATATACCCTCCGCTAACCACGCACGGCATCCCTCATAACAAGCTGCAGAAACTCTCTAAAGCATTGCTGTTATGTTGTGGGGAATCTTGGGAATTTAGCTCACCATGCCTTTGAGCCAGGAAAACGGGCCAGTTGGAGGCTGTGGGGGGCGGGGGTGGAGTGAGGAGGGGAGGATTAATTATTTCTTCCAATATTAACACCTGCCATTTTAAGGGAGAAGCAGAACGTTTGCATGTACCCAGTTACTGGGGGCTGCAAATGTGTACGAGATGATTTGGCAACATGAATCTTGGCATTCGAAATAGGCAGGCAGCCATTCCTTGATGGATATGGATCTTGACACCAGAGAATCAGTCTCAAACTCCAACCCCCTGTCCCATCCAGACTCCCCTCCCCACATCTTTTGGGAGGAAAGTGCATTGTACTATTCTCCTTCTTTAACAAAACTTCAGATCCATTAGATTCTCTTTAGTGGATCCAGCAACATGCTGTCCAGAGTTTCATTTTATGGCACTTTTGTCTCTTGTTGTCCTGATGTGAATCTCTTCACATATGGTAAATGCATATGCACACTTCCTCTTTCTGGGGATTGTGAACTCAGTCCCACCTCCCTTGCAAAACAACACTAGATGTGAACCATTTTACAGGCATGTTTCCCATACATAATGCAATAAATATGGCACGCTGCACAAGAAATATGGGAATGGAGGAGAAATAGATCTGTGTGTAGACAGAACCGGGAAGCTGTCTGTTCTGGGAAAACACATAGCTGGGTTTAGCTTTGAGATTAAAAAAAAGCAGCAGCAGAAACTAGCAAGAGATCCATGGTGAATGAGTGAAATGTGGCACAACTGAGCCAAAAATAAAAGAAGAAGAAGAAGGGAGGGAGGAGAAGGAGGTAAGGTAGCTCAGTGACAGAACATCTGCTTTGCATGCAGGTCTCAAGCTCTTTCCCTGGCATCTTTAAATAGGGCTAGGAAATACTTCTCTCTGAAATTCTGGGGAGCCACTCTCAGTCAGTGTAGACACTACTCAGCTAGATGGATCAACAATTTGACTCAGTATTAGGCAGCTTCCTATGCTCCTATGAAGGCTCTAATAATAGTCCCATTCTATCCTGTCTTGGTTAGACTCCACTTGGACGACCATGTCCAGTTTGGGGCACCACAGTTTAAGAAGGGCTTTGACAAACTGGAGTGTGTGCAGAGGGGGTCGCAGAAAAGAAGCAAAAAACATGTGTGCACAAGAGAGAGAGGTGGAGAGAAGTCTTAAGTTGTCTGTGTGGGAGAGAAAGTGGGTATATGTATGTATGTATGTGTGTGTGTCTGTGATGAGGGATGTTTGTTTTGTGTGTGTTTGTGAGAAAGAGGGGGAAAGATGTGCGTTTTGTGCCTGCTTGTAAAAGAAAGGTGGAGAGAAGGGATGTGAGTTCTCTGCCTCTGTGTGTGTGTGCGCATGCACGTGCGCATGTGTATCTGAGGGGAGTGATGTGTGTTCTCTGCCTGTTTGTGAAAGAGAGACTTACTCTCAAGTAAGTGTGCAAAGGGCAGCAACCTGGTCAGTGTGGATTTGGAATGAAACTAGTCAGTTGCCTTTTAGAAGAATAATAAAATGGAAAAGCGCTGCAATCTGAAAGGAGGAAAAATACTGTTTGTTTTGGAAGTACAAGTATATGTTGCTTCGGAGTGGAAGAAGTGAATATTATTATGGGAAGGGACTAAGATAGAGAGGCTTGCTTAAGGCGACCTAGCAAGATCATGGCAGAGGTGAGATTCAAACCAGGGACTTTCTGCATTGCAGAACAGTCTCTTAGCCACATGGACTCATGTCTCCCAAGTATACACATTTTTGTACACATTTCTTGACTAGAATACAGCATTGCAAAATTCAGGGGTGTATGAATTTTGGACCTGGGATAGCTTAGTGAGTATAGCATGAGACTCTTAATCTCAGGGTTGTGGTTTCGAGTGCCAACTTAGGCAAAAGAACCTGGCATTGCAGGGGGTTGGACTAGATGTCCAGTGTGGTCCCTTCCAATTTATGATTCTATTATGCCTTTGTTTTGGTTGTTGTATTGTTTCAGAAAGTGTGAATTAGGTACAGTAGGTGCACTTATTGAACTGATTTTCTTCTCTATGCCTACATGTGAGTAATTGCATGACCAGGGCTTGGATCCTTTGTGCCTACTTAAATTTCGGAATCACTGCTATGACTGCCATTGAATTATGGAAACTTCTCCTTATTCCTATGCCTAAAACGAGACCACCAAGCTATTTAATCTCAGCTAGGGAACAGCCTTCAAGGGCAGTGACTTTTGGCAACTACTGACCTGGGACTCATTCAGCCAGTGACTTATAGGCAAAAGGTTTTGTATTCAATTACCAGTCTCATGAACTGCTTGTTCCCTGCCAAACATTATAAATTTCACTCATAGCTTCACATAACTTTTTTATTAGCTGAATTAAATGCTAGCTGCTACTAATCAGGACTCCTTGTCCTCAAGTATGGAAAAAGGACTCACAGCTATGTGAATCGATGAGGTGCTTAAGTTCTCACAATCCCCTTTCAGTGATCATTAGATGTCAAAGACCAGAGGGAGAACGGAGGACCATTAAATTCTACTCTGTATTTCAAAAGCAATTGAGAACTAGATCATTTTTATTAACTGCATGCTGTGTTCATTGGAAAATAACATTCATCATCATCATCATCATCATCATCATCATCTAACCAATATGTTAAATCACATTTGTCTTAGGAATTGATGGGGGAATTATGGGAAACATTATGATTTTTGTGTGTGCGTTTTGTTTTTATGAGTCACAAATTTTGTCCAGCCAGCTGAAACCATAATTAGAGCCTTTAGAATTAATAAATAAAAGTGGGATTTGCAACAAAATATTGCAGAATGGAATGCTGCTGCTCAGAGTTCCAGCCAGCCATTCCCTTTTCATTGCATTTTATCTCATGCTGGTTTTGCATTCCCAACCCCACCTCCAACCGTGAGTCAGCATTCCATGGCCACTGAGCATACTCAGTCCTTACTGGGCTGTTCTGGGGTTTCCCTCTCCCTTAAGCTCCCACTACAGATTTTTCAAGCTTCTGCAGACTTTGATCATCCTCCAGACATGCAGTTACTTTCTTCATGTGCACAGATAGTGCTGTTTTGGCTACCTAATGATCCAACCAATAAATTTGCAATAATATACAGTATAGGATTTTCCTTGGATGCATGTAGATCACTGACTCCCACCTTGTTCAAATGGGAGCGTGGATGCATACAAGTGTTTGTTGTGAATCTGGAAGGTGGAGAGACAGTGAAGTGTAATTCTAGCAACTGGATCTAATGGGGGCAGACAGGGATCTGAAATACAACCCTTACAAAGGTCTCCACAGAGAGGTATCAGTTCCACTCAGTCCTCTCACGCTTTACTTTCCAAGCATCTCAGTTGAAAGTCAAGTTTGATCCACAGGACTTCATATCATTCCGACTTTAAGTTGATCTAAATGCAAATAAATGCAAATAAGTTGATCTAAATGCAAATAAATAGAGGTTTGTGCCTTATTGTTTGTAGCAGTAAAATGGCAAATGTGACTCAAGGTAATCGAGTGTGAAGTGATGCACTAGGGCAAAAGATCCTAATTTCACAAATATGATCATGGGGACTGCACTGAAGCTGACTGATCAGGAGAGAGTTCTCAAGGTTGTGGTAGATAGCTAGATAAAAATCAAAACCTAGTGTGAAGAAGGCCATTGATTGATATTGATTGATCAATAATGACATTGTACAAGTCTACACTGTGACACACTTAGAATACTGTGCACAATTCTGGACAAAAACAATATTGCAGAGCTGGAAAAGCTGAAGAAATAGGCAACCAAAATGGCCAAGGAGCTGGAACAATTACCTATGTGAGGAGTATTTACAACTTTTGGGGAATTTTAGTTCACAAAAAAGATGAGTAAGGGTGTGTGTGTGGGGGGGTGACAAGAAGGCAGCCCATGGGGGCTCACAGTGGCATGAGCAGCCATCGTGCCACCGCAGCTGCATGTGGAGGAACCTCCGTTCGCAGCTGCAGCCACGAGCAGAGGATCCCGGTGCCGGCAGCAAACTGCTATGTACAGCGCATGTGCGGTGCCGCTACGTATGGCGCATGCATCATACGTAGCGATGCCGCATATGTGTCCTACGTAGCAATGCCCCACCCTGGGTGTCACGACTCCTTCGTTCGCCCCTGGCTCCAGGCACTTACCCAGGGTTTTGTTTCCTCTTGCTTCTCCCATAGCTACAGCTTTGGATTTCAGCAGAAATCAAGCATGGCTCTGACTCCCTGGTTTCCCAGCCTGCTTCTAGCTTCTAGCTCACATCACTCAACTTTCAGCTCTGGCATTTCTCTCTAACTACCAGAGAGTTGAGGGAGGGGGGCCCACCCATTTGCCATCTGGCACAGGGCCCCTTGCTTTGTTATCTCAATGGCCCATACTTAGAGGGCCATTACCTCACCAGGAAGCTAGCCTGGCTATTCCAGGAACTGAATCCACGCCAGGCTGACCTATAGAAGGCACTCAGTTATGGATTACTTGTCATTTAAATGGGTGTTAATGTAATAACAAGAATCTTTCAAAATCTAAATACAAATATGCAAAAAACAACAACACGCAACATAAAAGCAAATCATAGGCTATGCATGTTGAAATTCAAAAAATTCCATAAAATATGATATCTAGCTTGAACTTTGTGCCCTCCTTATGGGTTTCAAGGTACAATCAAGTTTTACAGTGAAGAATATTGAGTTTTATGCCCCAAATCCAGCACTGACTCACAATTTTTATAGGAACCCAAGCCCCATTATATCCTTATTGAAGACTCTTAATACTGAGTGCAGGACTTCTTGACTTGTAATCATCAATGATTTTGTTTCTGTGTGACTTTCCATCAACTATATTATTTTGTAGTATTTATATTTCAGAATGATTAAACCTAAGCAGAATTTGATCAAGACTGATGTTAATTTCTTTCTCTCACTCCAGCTTCCTGATGTGTAAGCATGTGGGGAGGCAGACTAGAATCCCTACTGAATTATGTTGTAACATAGCTAAAATACATGTTCTTCATATCTTATTTCCCCTAGAAGAAATTTAATTCAGTGATGAGTGGAAAATATATTCCTTGTCCATGTGAAGCAATATGAAAAGATTTGGAGGTGGGGTGAGTATTATACATTAATGTAACAACAAAGGACTGAAAATGTTATGGAGCGGCGATTAAGGAAAATTGCTGCCTTGTGGAATTCCTAAAGGATTTAGTCAATTTGATTCTGTGTTTTACTCCCAGTAATGAGATTCCAAAGCCGCCACTCTGCAAGGATCAAATTTATTGTTTTCTTGGCCACCCAGATGGGTGAAAAGGAGCTGGTCCAGTCGTTGGAAATAGTTTCTCAAAGAAAAATGTGTAAAACAGATACATTTCTGCAGCATTTTGGACTTGCAGAATTCTAAACTTGTTTACTCATGTGTCAGCTCCACTGAGTTCAATGGAAGTACTCACAGTCCCAGGTCAGCATGCAAAGGGCTGTGGCTTTAAATGGACATAACAATATCTCCTGTTCAGTAAGGATAAATACGTCTGCTTTGCTATTTCCATTTAAAGCGCTTCACTTTACTGGACCACAAATGCATGCCTAGAGAAATAAAGTTGTAAAGCTGGAAGGGACCCCGACAGTCATCTAGTCCAAGCCCTTGCAACACAGAAATCTCAACCAGATCATACATGGCAGGTGGCCATCCAACCTCTGCTTAAAAACCTGCAAGGAAGGAAAATCCATCTCTTGTGGGACTCTCTTCCACTGCTGAGCAGCTCTTACTGTCAGAATGTTCTTCCTGATATTTAACTGGAATCTCCTTTCTTGAATCCATTGGTTTGAGTTGTAGTCTCCAGAGCAGGAGAAAACAAGCTTCCTCCATTATCCATGTGACAGCTCTTTAGATATTTAAAGAGGGTTACCAGTCACCTCTTTACCAGGCTAAACATCCCCCATTCCCTCAACTGTTCTTCACAGGGCTTTGTTTGCAACCCTTCTATCATATTAGTTGGCAGCCTCTGTAACATCACCCTGCCAAGCCTCCTCCTACTTATTGGGCAATACATTCTGAATATTGTGCAAAGACTACTGCCCAAAATCTTTCCAGGAACGGAGAAAAATAAAAAGGGCACACTAGCAATGCCACATTGGTATTTTGTCTCATTCATTAGAAATCTTTATATTCTTTACTTTTTGCCCTCACATATCAACTACCGTATTTTTTGCTCTATAAGACACACCAGACCACAAGACGCACCTAGTTTTGGGAGGAGGAAAACAAGAAAAAAAAAATTCTGAATCTCAGAAGCCGCAACAGCAAGAGGGATCACTGTGCAGTGAAAGCAGCAATCCCTCTTGCTGTTCTGGCTTCTGTGATAGCTGTGCAGCCTGCATTCGCTCCATAAGACGCACACACATTTCCCCTTACTTTTTAGGAGGGAAAAAGTGAGTCTTATAGCGCAAAAAATATGGTATTTTAGAATAGGATGGCAAGGTTACCTAAAAAGAGATGACAATTTTTTTAAAATTTAAAAGCATGATTATTTTTTCCAACTGGAAATAATACTGTAGTTGCTTTCAGCATTTGGGATTGCAACATATTCTTGCATTCTCCATCCTATTCATTTCCATATGCTGCCAGGGCACCTTAAATCTTATCAATAACACACCAGGGCAACAGTGCAATTTCAAGTTTCAGTGGGTGAGTTGATGGATGGGACCAAATCAACATCAAGGTTCAAAAGCCAATTTCGGCATAATTCAAGATTGAAATGCAAAATTGTAAATGCATGTTTGTGCTTACTTTTTATCCCTCATCACCTTCCCCAACCTGATGTCCTCCAGATATTTTGGACCCCAACACCCTTGAGCCCCAGCCAGTATGGTCAATGGCCAGAGA